AGAGCCGTATGGCTCACAGGGTTATATACCAAATACATGAACTGAACTGAACTCACCTCCCGAAAGCTTCGTCCAGATCATCGTCGTCGTCAAAGTCCTACGGCGAGACGGGCAGACAGAGGTGCGATAGAATCACTCAGCCCATCATCCCTCCAGGGTCGATAAAACAAGTACCACCACCTTGGGGCAAATTCAACAGTGGCGATCGTCCCTTCGATAAGACTTAACCCCCCGCCATAGCAATGTGGAATTGTCACCGCTGGCTCTGCAAGGCGTACACGGCCCACACACGCTGCGATCGATTAACACGAGGGGGCGGGTGGCCAGCACCACGCCCGGCCGCCTTTGTCTCCCCAGTGGCGATGTTTACACACCGCACCGCACACCAGGTACTCGTTTAAGGCCGAGTCGACCTAGGGGAGGCCCAGAACCGGTTCGGATAATCGTCACTGTGGTGTTGGCCGTGAGCGGGAAATCGAACTCGGGTCTCCGGGTTCGTAGTGCGGCGTAGCGCTAATCGCTGCACCACCGTTCCTCACACGCCCACCCACCCACCCACCCACCCGACCGCCCACCCACCCACACACCCACCCACCCACACCCCTGCCCACTGACTGACCCCACCCACACGCCCACCCACCCACCACACACCCACCCACACCCCTGCCCACTGACTGACCCCACCCACACGCCCACCCCACCCACACGCCCACCCACACGCCCACCCACACCCTCACCCACCCACCCACACCCCACCACCACGCCACCCACACCCACACGCCCACCCACCCCACCCACACGCCCACCCACCACCCACACCCTGCCCACACCCCCCGTCCACTGACTGACCCCCCCCACCCACTCACACTTTGCCACCCGCCCGCCTGCCCCCCCCCCCCCAAGTGCTCACCGTGGCCCCCACCCCTGTGGAGGGGGGGGCGGCGCCGCGTGGGCAGCAGCAGCCCGGGGGAAGTTCGGGAGGAGGGTGGGGGGCCCGCGGGGGGCGCCCCAGGGGGCCGCAGCGGAGCACTCGGATAGGTCCAGCAGCAGGGAGGGGGGGGGCCCCTTGGGGGGCTCCCCTCCAGGGGGGGCCCTGGACACACGGGGGGGGGAGAGGGGGAGGGGGGGCAGATTAGAGACGACGCAGGGAGACGCACGGCGGGGCGAGGGGAAACACGGCGGGCGGGCGAGTGGGCAATTGGGTGGGCGAGCGGTGCGGCGAGTGGCGGGCGAGCGGGTGGGTGAGTGGGCGGGCGAGTGGGCGGGGGCGAGTGTGAGTGAGTGAGGTGAGCGAGTGAGTGAGTGGGGGGGGTGAGTGGATGAGTGGGTGAGTGATGAGTAAGTGGGTGAGTGAGTAAGTGGTGAGTGAGCGAGTGGGTGAGTGAGTGAGTGAGCGGGTGAGCGGGTGAGCGGGTGAGCGGGTGAGTGACGAGTGAGTGTGTGAGTGAGTGGGTGAGTGGCTGAGTGAGTTGGGTGAGTGAGCGGGTGAGTGAGCGGGTGAGTGAGTGAGAGAGTGAGTGAGCGGGAGTGAGTGGGTGAGTGGTGTGGGAGTGAGTGGGTGGTGAATGAGTGAGTGGGTGAGTGGGCGAGTGAGTGAGTGAGCGGGTGGGTGGGCGGGTGAGTGAGCGGGTGAGTGAGCGGGTGAGTGAGTGGGTGAGCGGGTGAGTGAGTGAGTGAGTTAAGTGAGTGAGTGAGTGAGTTAAGTGGGGGCGAGTGAGTGAGTGAGTGGGTGAGTGAGTGGGTGAGTGAGGTGAGCGAGTGGGTGTGAGCGAGTGGGTGAGCGGGTGAGTGAGTGGGTGAGCGAGTGAGTGAGTGAGTAGGTGGCGAGTGGGTGAGCGAGTGGGTGAGCGAGTGGGTGAGTGAGTAGGTGAGCGAGTGGTGAGCGAGTGGTGTGAGCGGGTGAGTGAGTGGGTGAGCGAGTGAGTTGATTGAGTAGTTGAGCGAGTGGGTGAGCGAGTGGGTGAGTGAGTAGGTGAGCGAGTGAGTGAGTGAGTAGGGAGCGAGTGGGTTAGCGAGTGGCGCTGCTCTGACTCACCGTCCCCGAGGGGGGCTGCCCCCCCTCCGTGCCGCTCCGCGTGGCGCCACCGCCACTCTGCTGAGGGGGGGCGCCCCCTTCCTTAGCTGCACACCGGTGACACAAGTCAACAAGAGGGGCACACGTGACTGTGTGACTGGTGTGTGTGAGTGTGTGTGAGAGTGTGTGAGTGAGAGTGTGTGTGTGTGACTGTGGTGTGTGACTGTGTGTGTGTGTGACTGTGAGTGTGACTGTGTGAGTGTGTGACTGTGAGTGTGTGTGACTGTGTGTGTGCGACTGTGTGTAATGGGGGAGCGGTAGTGTAGCGGTTAGCGCGCTGCGCTATGAACCTGGCGACCCGGGTTCGATTCCCGCTCACGGCCAACACCAGTGACGATCATTTGAACCGGTCCTGGCCTCCCCTAGGTCGACTCAAGCCTTAAATGAGTACCTGGTGCGGTGTGTAAACAACGCCACTGGGGAGACAAAGGCGGTCGGGCGTGGTGCTGGCCACCCACCCCCTCAGTGTACCATTCCGGCCTTCATAGGTGCTCGCTAACAGCACTTGCCCCTACAGTCTGTTAAGGCTATACGGGGGATCTTTGTTTCATGTGACTGTGTGAGTGTGTGACTGTGAGTGTGACTGTGTGTGTGTGTGAGAGTGGTGAGAGTGTGTGTGTGTGAGAGTGTGTGTGTGTGAGAGTGTGTGTGTGTGAGTGTGTGTGTTGAGAGTGTGTGTGTGTGAGTGTGTTTGACTGTGTGAGTGAGAGTGTGTTTGACTGTGTGAGTGAGAGTGTGTGTGACTGTGTGTGTGTGACTGTGAGTGTGACTGTGTGAGTGTGTGTGACTAACTGTGTGTGTGTGTGTGACTGTGTGTGTGTGACAGTGTGTTTGACTGTGTGAGTGAGAGTGTGTGTGACTGTGTGTGTGTGACTGTGTTGTGTGAGTGACTGTGGTGTGTGTGTGACTGTGTGTGTGTGTAACTGTGTGTGTGTAACTGTGTGACACTCTGCTCACGATCATCAAGGACCTTCATGATGGTGAGCGGGCCCGGCTAAAACTACGTGGCTGGGAGTCAGAGCCATTCTCTGTACACCTTGGGGTGCGACAGGGATGTCCTCTGGCTCCCACATTATTTAACATCTATTTTGACAACGTAGTTCGTGAAGCCTTCAAAAGCTGTACCAGAGGAATTTCCATTTGGTACAGATACAATGGGAGGCTGATCGATGCCCGGGTGCAGTCAAGGGATGGCTCCCTATTGGTCAACCACGTTATGTATGCCGATGATTGGTAATTGCTGCTCATTCAGAGGAGGAGTTGGAGACGCTGCTGCTGAAACTGGAGCGTGCCACTAAGAGGTTGGGGCCTTACCATCAGCCCCACCAAAACTAAGCACCTGCCTGGGTATTTTGTGCCATCGGACACTCCACCCCCCACAACTCCAATCGGTGATGGGGCAGTTGTGGAGAGAGTGGAGAGTTTCCCATACCTGGGCAGTGTGCTCATGAAAGGCTCCGGTTTGACTTAAGAGGTCTTGCGAAACGTGGACCCCCCTAATGGAGGCATCTTCGCCGGTGAGAAACATTTAGGCTGGCCTGCCTACGATCCATCCTGGGTTTAAACCAGGCTGGATTGTGCGAGGAGCTCACAAATCCTTGAAAAATCTGGACAAAGTCCCATCGGTGAGCTCCTCTGGCAGGCAAGGCTGCGTTGGCTGGGTCATGTCGCCCGCATGCCCAGCCACCGCATGCCTAAACAACTTTTGTTCGGCCGGATCGAGGGGGCTAAACGGGCGCGGCACGGGCTAGAGAAGAGATGGAGTGATGTGGTATAGGAGGATGTGGAGCTGAGTGGACTTGCCGATGACCGGTACCAGCGGTATCAAGATCGGCCTCTGTGGAGGAGGCTCGTGAAGGACACTACTGGGCAGTTGGAGGCATTCGCCCTCCAGCAACAACGGAGGGCGGAGGAGCAACGCTCACAACAACGAGCGGAGCGCCGGGTGGCTAAAGCACAGCAAGTTGGCACAGTAGGGGGCACGGGTGGTGCATCAGCCAGTCATCTCGGTCATCTCGGTCAGTCGACCCGTGGCACCTGGGTCTGCCCCGTGACCTCCTGCCAGCGGGCGTTCGACACTTCACATGGCCTCAAGGTGCACATAGCCTGGCACAAGCGTCGTGGTGACGTCACCGCCACTTCGGTGGCGAATGGCGGTTGTTGTTGTTGTTGTGTGTGCGAGAGGAGCGGTGGCGCAGTGGTTAGCGCGCGGCACTACGAAACTGGCGACCAGAGTTAGATTCCAGCTTGCGGCCACCAACACACAGTGACGATCATCTGAACTGGTCCTGGGCCTCCCCTAGGCCGACTCAGCCTCAAACGAGTACCTGGTGCGGTGTGGAGTAAACATCGCCACTGGGAGACAAAGGCGGCCGGGCTTGGTGCTGGCCACCTGCTCGTGTGCCGTGCCGGCCTTCATAGGTGCTCGTCGCTAACAGCACTTGCCCCGACAGTCTCTTAAGGCTACACGGGGGATCTTTGTCTTTTGCACAAGTGTGTGCGGCGGACTGCGGCGCAGTGCGCAGCTTTCCGCGCTACGAACCAGGTTTGTCCGGGTTCGATTCCGGCTGTGGCGAGCATCTGGTGACCCCGGGGGCGTGGTGGGGGGGGGGGTGGGGGGGTGGGGGGGGTGGGTGGGGGTCTCAAATGGCCGTACCTTCCTTAGCCGCTTGCCAGAACTCAAACGCCACGCGGAACGCCTGGGCCACCGTCAGCGTCACCGCCTGGGCCTGGACAGGGGAGACAACACAGGGGAGACAACACAGGGGAGACACGGGGGGAGGAGACACGGGGGGGTGACATGGGGAGACACGGGGGGGGTGGGGGGGAGAGACACGGAGGGGGAGATGCGGGCGAGTGGTCGTGTAGAGGTTAGCGCCGCGCTGCGCTACGAATTCCCGCTCGCGGCCATCAACAACTGGTGACGGTTATCTGAACCGGTCCTGTGCCTCCCCTAGGTCGAGCGAGTGAGCGAGTGAGGAGTGAGTGAGTAATTGAGTGAGGAGTGAGTAAGTGAGTGATTGAGTGAGGAGTGAGTGAGGAGCGAGTAGTGAGGAGCGAGTAGTGAGGAGTGATTGAGTGATTGAGTGAGGAGTGAGTAAGTGAGCGAGCGAGCAGTGAGTGAGCGAGTGATTGAGTGAGTGGGGAGTAAGTGAGGAGTGAGCGAGTAGTGATTGAGCGAGCGAGTAGTGAGCGAGCGAGTGATTGAGTGAGTGAGTAGCGAGTGAGTGAGAAGTGATTGAGGAGTGAGTGAGTAGTGATTGAGTGATTTAGTGAGGAGTGAGTGATTGAGCGAGCGAGCGAGGAGTGAGTGTCCGAGTGATTGAGTGAGTGAGTGAGGAGCGAGCGAGCGAGGAGTGAGTGTCCGAGTGATTGAGTGAGTGAGTGAGTAAGTGAGCGAGCGAGCAGTGAGTGAGCGAGTGATTGAGAAGTGATTGGGGAGTGAGTGAGGAGTGATTGAGCGAGCGAGTGATTGAGGTGAGCGAGTAGCGAGTGAGTGAGCGAGTAGCGAGTGAGTGAGCGAGCGAGCGAGTGAGCGATGAGCGAGCGAGTAGTGAGGAGCGAGCGTCACCACTTTCTTCTTGGTGCAGAGGAAGGCGAAGCACTCGAGGTTGTCGTCGAGGCCGCTCTGAGCGATGAAGGCGAACACCTTGTCATGCACCTTGTCAGCCGTGCAGTACGAGATGCTACACACACACAGACACACAGACACACACACGTGTACACACACACCTTGTCATGCACCTTGTCAGCCGTGCAGTACGAGATGCTACACACACACAGACACACACACAAACAAACACACACACATACACACACAGTGTACACACACACACAGTGTACACACACCAACAACAACAACAACCGCCATTCGCCACTAAGTGGCGGTGACGTCACCACGACGCTTGTTCCAGGCCAAGTGCACCTTGAGGCCACGTGAAGTGTCGAACGCCCGCTGGCAGGAGGTCACGGGGCAGACCCAGGTGCCACGGGTCGACTGACCGAGATGACCGAGATGACTGGCTGATGCACCACCTGTGCCCCCTACTGTACCAACTTGCTGTGCTTTAGCCACCCGGCGCTCCGCTCGTTGTTGTGAGCGTCGCTCCTCCGCCCTCCGTTGTTGTTGGAGGGCGACTGCCTCCAACTGCCCAGTAGCGTCCTTCACGAGCCTCTTCCACCGAGGCCGATCTTGACACCGATGGTACCAGTCATCGGCAAGTCCACTCAGCTCCACGTCCTCCTGTACCACATCACTCCATCTCTTCTCCAGCCCGTGCCGCGCCCGTTTAGCCCCCTCGATCCGGCCGAACAAAAGCTGTTTAGGCATGCGGTGGCTGGGCATGCGGGCTACATGACCCAGCCAACGCAGCCTTGCCTGCCGGAGGAGCTCACTGATGGGACTTTGCCCAGATCTTTCAAGGACTTGTGAGCTCCTCACACAATCCAGCCTGGTTAAACCCAGGATGGATCGTAGGCAGGCCAGCCTAAATGTTTCCAACCAGCGAAGATGCTCCACTAGGGGGGTCCACGTTTCGCAAGCGTAGAGAAGGGAGGGAATGACCGTGGCCGAGAAGACCTGAAGCTTCGTGCGGAGCGACAGACCAGGTAGCTTCCACACAGCGTTACGCAACCGATAGAAAGATATTGCCGCTCGACTGATTCGGCGTGAGACCTCTGCTGATAAACTGGAGCCGGTCATAAGCACACTGCCCAGGTATGGGAAACTCTCCACTCTCTCCATAACTGCCCCATCACCAATTGGGAGTTGTGGGGGTGGAGTGTCCGATGGTACAAAATACCCAGGCAGGTGCTTAGTTTTGGTGGGGCTGATGGTAAGGCCCCACCTCTTAGTGGCACGCTCCAGTCTCAGCAGCAGCGTCTCCAACTCCTCTTCTGAATGAGCAGCTATTACCAAATCATCGGCATACATAACGTGGTTGACCAATAGGGAGCCATCCCTTGATCGCACCCGGGCATCGATCAGCCTCCCATTATATCTGTACCAAATGGAAATTCCCCTGGTACAGCTATTGAAGGCTTCACGAACTACGCGGTCAAAATAGATGTTAAATAATGTGGGAGCCAGAGGACATCCCTGTCGCACCCCAAGGTGTACAGGGAAAGGCTCCCACTCCCGGCCACGTAGTTTTACCCGGGCCCGCTCACCATCATGAAGGTCCTTAATGATCATGAGCAGAGGGTCAGGGAATCCGAAAACACGAAGAACAGCCCAGAGCCCAGGCCTACTGATGGTTTCATAGGCCTTGACCAGGTCAATAAAGCAGAAGTGTAGGGCTTGTTGGAATTCCCTACACCTCTGCTGTAGCAGATGGACAGAAAATATGTCATCTGTGCAGGACCGCCCTTTCCTGAAACCGCATTGGGGCTCCGCAAGCCACTCTTCAGCGTGTCTAGCAAGGCGATGTTGAATAATCCTTGCCAGGACCTTTTCCGGCACACTGAGAAGTGAGATGCCCCTGTAGTTGTGTAACGGGTTCCGGAGACACTTGTATAGGTAACTTCTTTATTACGATCCAACACTCCAACTCTCCAACAGTCCTGATACTCTGTTACAGCCTAGGTACACAGCCTAGGTACACAGCCTAGATACACTACTTTGGCTATGCTCTGGAACTCGCCCTCACAAGGTCGTAGAGTCAGTTCCAGAATCCCACCACTGGCTCTCACAGCGTCCCAGGGTCCTCCGATGGCTGGTCTTGGGTCTTGAGCTACGACTGGCCCTGACCGTCCAGGGAGCTCCGCTTGTATGCCCAGTCCCCAACGAGGGGTGGGGCCGTGTGCGCCCACAGATATCCCACAGAGCAAACACAGCCCCCCCCTTTGGCGGCGCCAAGGGGATTAAGCGCCTGGCACGCCCAGGGACCCAGAGCCCCCAGCAGCCCCTCCCTTCTTATGTCACTACATTACCCCCCTCTACGTAGCCTCCAGCCGTCCCGGCTGTCAATAATTAGAAAGTTTAAATTAACGAAAGGGAGAGAGAGAAAAAAAAAATACGTGAGTCTCAACAGGAAAAGAAAAGAGAACAAGAAAGCAACCATAAAAACCATAACCAACCTGTACAACTCTACACTATATACAAGCATCAATCAACAAAAAGGTGAAGCAATGACACGTGAACAAACGACCCGCGGCACACCTAGCCCTCCTCGGGATCCGCATAGAAACCGGGGAATTAACAACAACAAATATACAGATTCCGACGCATTGGATGCACAACCAACACCGGTAATCGAACCGAAATCGCACAACCACCGCATGGATGGCAGGGATCCACACCACCCTGCCACCCTCCCATCTGTCAGGTGGAGAGAAGGCGAAGACTAACATGTCGAGCACCCCTCTACACGCACTTATCCGGACGTCTGTCTACGTCCCGGGTCGAGAAGTCGTACTTCAGGGCCGACCCATGTACTGGGCAAAGAAGTCGCACTTCAGGGCTGCTCCAGTATCTACATTTTAAAATATATATATACAATTTACATGACACAAACAAAATAAATCTGCCTGCTCCTGTCCATAAATGGTGACGGCACGCGCGAACCACATCTCCAAGGCATCCCGTGCTTGCGTCCCAGCAGCCCTCAATGAGAACCACCACCGACATTCCATGTCAACCATTAGCACCCCCCGCCTTTCCAACGTGGCGTCTCCATCTTAAAACCCCGCACGTCGGCCATATCGGGGGGGAATTTCCGTGTTACCACCCCACCGCCTTTCCGATGCGGCGTCACAACCAGTAGCACGTGTCGGCCATATCGGGGGAACTTCAACCCAGTCTCTCTCCAAGACTCGCATCGCAGCATATAGCTGTACCGACCGAGCTGAGACCCAATCTCTCTCCAAGACTCGCATCGCAGCATATAGCTGTACCGACCGAGCTGAGACCCAATCTCTCTCCAAGACTCGCATCGCAGCATATAGCTGTACCGACCGAGCTGAGACCCAGTCTCTCTCCAAGACTCGCATCGCAGCATATAGCTGTACCGACCGAGCTGAGACGACCTAGTCTCTCTCCAAGACTCGCATCGCAGCATATAGTTGTACCGACCGAGCTGAGACGACCCATCGTTCACTCCCTGCACAACATGCACCCTAACAACTGAGGGATACAGTCCCAACGTAACGGGACAACTACACCTGAACACCACGAATCTCCAGCCCACTGTTTCAACGCGCCTCGGAGTGTTTCAATCTCCGGGCCGTCAGGGCGAGCCTACTGCTCCAGACGCACCACGGAGGGTCCCAACCTCCGGGCCGTCAGGTCAAGCCGTCAGCTATTCCATGACGGGACCACACTCTCCGAGCCCTGTGAGCGCACAGCCCACTAGGCTAGACATGCCACGGAGTGTTTCAATCTCCGGGCTGTCAGGTCAAGCCGTCAGCTGTAGCATGACGGGACCACAACTCTCGTGTTAGACACGCAACACACGCTGGGCCATCCTGGTCAGGATCTGCACCCCAAGATATTTGAGAACCAGCATGACAATTCCAAATCCTTGGCAGCATGTCACCATCTCAAGATAAATGCCCCATACAGTATATACATCGTTAACAATGACAGCACAAGCTATACATTAACAATCACGAACAAAGCTCAATACAAACCATACATTGTTAACAATCACAAGCAAAGTTTCGCACACACATTGACAACACTCACGAGCGAAGCTGCACACAGTTTACCCAACAACAATCACGACTCCCCGACGACAACGAAGAAAATGTCAACAAAAAAATCATTAATCCGGAGCGCGTAAATGTACGAAATGTCAGGGGCCTGGTCTCCCGACCTCCAACCTTTGGCCAGAGCAGCAAAGGCGGCGACCAGCGTGTCGGTCGATGTGCCGGCCCTGGCGCCGGTTACAGTAAGAATGGCGCCCTCACTATCCGGTCGCAGCGCTGATGACGCGCTATGCTAGGTTGAAGCCAGCTGTCGTCTGGCAGTGAAGGTCGCAGCGCTGATGACGCGGCGTTGCTAGGTTGCAAACAGCTGTCACCTGGCGGTGAGGGACGCAGCGCTGATGACGCGGCATTGCTAGGTTGGACGGCGCTGAGCCCAGAAGTGACGTTGCTCCCAGCGGTCATTGCTCCCCCGGCAGAAGTGACGACACACCCGGATGTATTTGTGCCGGGAACGGCTGCCATCTTTGTGTTGGAGCCGACGGAATGGCGCGGCCGCTGTGCCGCCTCTCTCCCTCCTGCCTCCGCCTGTGAGCGACGCATGTCGTCCAGGATGGAGACGGTGGCGTGGAGCAGCTCAGTGAGGCGAAGCAGTGCCTCCTCCATCGCTGCTCCCGACGCTGGAGAGGGGACGGTCGGCGGAGCAGACAGCTGTTCAGTCGGCGGTGCAGCGTCGCTGTCGGCCGGCGTTGGCCGCCCCATCGCTGCTTGTTACTCGACATCGCCGTCAGTACTGAAGGTACGTGGCTTACTTCTTGTCTCCATAGCCACTTCTGATGCCAAATGTAACGGGTTTCGGAGACACTTGTAGAGGTAACTTCTTTATTACGATCCAACACTCCAACTCTACAACAGTCCTGATACTGTTACAGCCTAGGTACACAGCCTAGGTACACGGCCTAGATACACTACTCTGGCTACGCTCTGGAACTCGCCCTCACAAGGTCGTAGAGTCGGGAGTTCCAGAGTCCCACCACTGGCTCTCACAGCATCCCAGGGTCCTGAGATGGCTGGTCTTGGGTCTTGAGCTACAACTGGCCCTGATCGTCCAGGGAGCTCCGCTTTTATGCCCAGTCCCCAACGAGGGGTGGGGCCATGTGCGCCCCCAGATATCCCACACAGCACACACAGCCCCCCCCTTTGGCGGCGCCAAGGGGATTAAGCGCCTGGGAACTCAACGCCTGACGCCAAGAGGCTTAAGCATCTGACACACCCAGGGTCCCAGAGCCCCCAGCAGCCCCTCCCTTCTTATGTCACTACAGTTGTTACAGTCTGTGCGGTCCCCCTTCTTAAAGAGGGGGACCACCAGGGCATCCTTCCAATCCTGCGGAACCCATCCAGTGGTCCAGACTGTTGTTATCATGTCATGTAGGGCAGTCTGTGCACAAACGCCACCCTCCCTCAGCATTTCGCTTGGGAGATCATCTCTGCCCGGTGCCTTTCCTGGTCTCAGACTCCGGATCGCCTTCAGTACTTCCTCAACAGATGGCACCTCAGCCAGTCACTCACAGGGGGTGACCTCTTCCAATATTTGAGGCACCGCAGCCTCAGCAGGGTTATCCCCACTTTGTGCCATGATGTTTTCCTGGCTGAGCGATTTCCCCTCCCCCAGGACCTCACAGAAATGCTCAGCAAATCTGCAAACCTGTTCCTGGGGGTCGGAGATTGGATTACCGTTTTTTCCCCTAATGATGGTAATAGGTGTGGCGCTGCAGGTTATTTTTTTGATGGAGTTAAATAGTGTTTTGTGATCGCGGGCCACTGAGGCAGACTATCTCCTCAGCAACCCGCGACCACCACCCATCCTTACAGCGCCTTACGGCTCTCCGAACCTCCGAGCGAAGGCTGCGGTAAACCTCCTCATTCTCTGACGTGGGATGCTGTAGCCGATGAGAGTGGGCCTGTCGCTTTTTCTCAACTAACCTGAACACCTCCTCTGTCAGCCAGGGTTTCTGGGGAGGTCTGGACCACGTACCAAAAGCAGCCATTGCAGCTGCATGAGTCACAGTCCTAAACCTCGCCCATTTACCCTCGATATCAGGAGGAGTGGGGGACGATGCCAATCCCAGCTGCAAGCGATGATGAAATTCTCGCTTGCAACTTTCATCAGCTAACTGAGACCAGGCCACTTTTGGTTGGAATGGGGTCCTGGGTGTACACTCACCACCGGAATGGAAGAATGGCAGGCGCATCTTACAGATGACTAGTCGATGGTCAGAGGGCAGATGAGCTCCACGGTAGGTCCTGGTGTCAAGGACATGGGCTCGCATCCGCTGGTCCGTCACTATGTAGTCAAGCAGATGTTCTTGCTTGGACCCGGCATGCATCCATGATGTTGTGTGGATGCGCCGATGCCTGAACAGCGTGTTGGTAATTACAAGCCCATGGGCTGCACAAAATTCTAGCAGCCTCCTGCCGTTGTTATTGAGCTGATCTGGCCCATGCCTTCCAATCACTCCAGACCACACACACACACGTGTACACACACACGTGTACACACACACACACACGTGTACACACACACACACACGTGTACACACACACGTGTACACACACACACACACACACGTGTACACACACACGTGTACACACACACACACACACGTGTAGTCTCACCGGTAGATGGATATGTTGTCCAGCAGCTCGGCGCTGCACGCGTCGTGCAGCACGAGGCCTTTGGGCGACACGGTCACCGTCACCTTGCGCAGCTTCCTGCCACTCGCCTTCGCCTGCACACAACAACAACAACACCAGCGCCACCACTCCACTAGCACCACCACCACCACCACTCCACTAGCACCACCAGCACCACTCCACTAACACCACCACCACCACCAGCGCCACGCCGATAGCACCACCACCAGCGCCACGCCGCCACCAGCGCCACTCCGCTAACACCGCCACTAGCGCCACTCCGCTAGCAACGCCACTAGCGCCACTCCGCTAGCAACGCCACTAGCGCCACTCCGCTAACACCGCCACTAGCGCCACTCCGCTAGCAACGCCACTAGCGCCACTCCGCTAACACCGCCACTAGCGCCACTCCGCTAGCAACGCCACTAGCGCCACTCCGCTAGCAACGCCACTAGCGCCACTCCGCTACACCGCCACTAGCGCCACTCCGCTAGCAACGCCACTAGCGCCACTCCGCTAGCAACGCCACTAGCGCCACTCCGCTAACACCGCCACTAGCGCCACTCCGCTAGCAACGCCACTAGCGCCACTCCGCTAGCAACGCCACTAGCGCCACTCCGCTAACACCGCCACTAGCGCCACTCCGCTAGCAACGCCACTAGCGCCACTCCGCTAGCAACGCCACTAGCGCCACTCGCTAACACCGCCACTAGCGCCACTCCGCTAGCAACGCCACTAGCGCCACTCCGCTAGCAACGCCACTAGCGCCACTCCGCTAACACCGCCACTAGCGCCACTCCGCTAGCAACGCCACTAGCGCCACTCCGCTAGCAACGCCACTAGCGCACACTTTTCCGCTAAGCAACGCCACTAGCGCCACTCCGCTAGCAACGCCACTAGCGCCACTCCGCTAGCAACGCCACTAGCGCCACTCCGCTAGCAACGCCACTAGCGCCACTCCGCTAGCAACGCCACTAGCGCCACTCCGCTAGCAAACGCCACTAGCGCCACTCCGCTAGCAACGCCACTAGCGCCACTCCGCTAGCAACGCCACTAGCGCCACTCCGCTAAGCACCGCCACTAGCGCCACTCCGCTAGCAACGCCACTAGCGCCACTCCGCTAGCAACGCCACTAGCGCCACTCCGCTAGCAACGCCACTAGCGCCACTCCGCTAGCAACGCCACTAGCGCCACTCCGCTAGCAACGCCACTAGCGCCACTCCGCTAGCAACGCCACTAGCGCCACTCCGCTAGCAACGCCACTAGCGCCACTCCGCTAGCAACGCCACTAGCGCCACTCCGCTAGCAACGCCACTAGCGCCACTCCGCTAGCAACGCCACTAGCGCCACTCCGCTAACACCGCCACTAGCGCCACTCCGCTAGCAACGCCACTAGCGCCACTCCGCTAGCAACGCCACTAGCGCCACTCCGCTAGCAACGCCACTAGCGCCACTCCGCTAGCAACGCCACTAGCGCCACTCCGCTAGCAACGCACTAGCGCCACTCCGCTAACACGCCACTAGCGCCACTCCGCTAGCAACGCCACTAGCGCCACTCCGCTAACACCGCCAACTAGCGCCACTCCGCTAGCAACGCCACTAGCGCCACTCCGCTAGCAACGCCACTAGCGCCACTCCGCTACACCGCCACTAGCGCCACTCCGCTAGCAACGCCACTAGCGCCACTCCGCTAGCAACGCCACTAGCGCCACTCCGCTAGCACCGCCACTAGCGCCACTCCGCTAGCAACGCCACTAGCGCCACGCCGCCACCAGCGCCACTCCGCTAGCAACGCCACTAGCGCCACTCCGCTAGCAACGCCACTAGCGCCACTCCGCTAGCAACGCCACTAGCGCCACTCCGCTAACACCGCCACCAGCGCCACTCCGCTAGCAACGCCACTAGCGCCACTCCGCTAGCACCGCCACCAGCGCCACTCCGCTAACACCGCCACCAGCGCCACTCCGCTAGCAACGCCACTAGCGCCACTCCGCTAGCAACGCCACCAGCGCCACTCCGCTAACACCGCCACTAGCGCCACTCCGCTAGCAACGCCACTAGCGCCACTCCGCTAACACCGCCACCAGCGCCACTCCGCTAGCAACGCCACTAGCGCCACTCCGCTAGCACCGCCACCAGCGCCACTCCGCTAACACCGCCACCAGCGCCACTCCGCTAGCAACGCCAACAGCGCCACTCCGCTAGCAACGTCACTAGCGCCACTCCGCTAACACCGCCACTAGCGCCACTCCGCTAGCAACGCCACTAGCGCCACTCCGCTAACACCGCCACTAGCGCCACTCCGCTAGCAACGCCACTAGCGCCACTCCGCTAACACCGCCACTAGCGCCACTCCGCTAACACCGCCACTAGCGCCACTCCGCTAGCAACGCCACTAGCGCCACTCCGCTAGCAACGCCACTAGCGCCACTCCGCTAGCACCGCCACTAGCGCCACTCCGCTAGCAACGCCACCAGCGCCACTCCGCTAACACCGCCACCAGCGCCACTCCGCTAACACCGCCACCAGCGCCACTCCGCTAACACCGCCACCAGCGCCACTCCGCTAACACCGCCACCAGCGCCACTCCGCTAGCAACGCCAACAGCGCCACTCCGCTAGCAACGCCACTAGCGCCACTCCGCTAACACCGCCACTAGCGCCACTCCGCTAGCAACGCCACTAGCGCCACTCCGCTAACACCGCCACTAGCGCCACTCCGCTAGCAACGCCACTAGCGCCACTCCGCTAACACCGCCACTAGCGCCACTCCGCTAGCAACGCCACTAGCGCCACTCCGCTAGCAACGCCACTAGCGCCACTCCGCTAGCACCGCCACTAGCGCCACTCCGCTAACACCGCCACTAGCGCCACTCCGCTAGCAACGCCACTAGCGCCACTCCGCTAACACCGCCACCAGCGCCACTCCGCTAACACCGCCACCAGCGCCACTCCGCTAGCAACGCCACTAGCGCCACTCCGCTAGCAACGCCACTAGCGCCACTCCGCTAACACCGCCACCAGCGCCACTCCGCTAACACCGCCACCAGCGCCACTCCGCTAACACCGCCACCAGCGCCACTCCGCTAACACCGCCACTAGCGCCACTCCGCTAGCACCGCCACTAGCGCCACTCCGCTAACACCGCCACCAGCGCCACTCCGCTAACACCGCCACCAGCGCCACTCCGCTAACACCGCCACCAGCGCCACTCCGCTAACACCGCCACCAGCGCCACTCCGCTAACACCGCCACCAGCGCCACTCCGCTAACACCGCCACCAGCGCCACGCCCTCTCAACTAACTCCACTCTTCTCCGTGCACTCCCCGACCTCTCCCCTCTCATCTCATTCACCCTCCCACACGCTCACCCACCCACCCACCCACCCACCATGACCCCTCACTCACTCACCCGCCCACACGCTCACCACGCCCGCTCACTCACCCACCCACCCACCCACACACTCACCCACCCACCATGACCCCTCACTCACTCACCCGCCCACACGCTCACCCACCCACACGCTCACCACGCCCGCTCACTCACCCACCCACCCACACACTCACCCACCCACCATGACCCCTCACTCACTCACCCGCCCACACGCTCACCCACCCACCACACCCGCTCACTCACCCACCCACCATGACCCCTCACTCACTCACCCGCCCACACGCTCACCATGCCCACTCACTCACTCACCCACCCACACGCTCACCATGCCCACTCACTCACTCACCCTCCCACACGCTCACCACGCCCGCTCACTCACCCACCCACCCACACACTCACCCACCCACCATGACCCCTCACTCACTCACCCGCCCACACGCTCACCCACCCACCATGCCCGCTCACTCACCCACACGCTCACCATGCCCGCTCACTCACTCACTCACTCACCCGCCCACACGCTCGCCATGCTCGCTCACCATGCCCGCTCACCCACCCACACGCTCACCATGCCCACTCACTCACCATGCCCGCCCACACACTCACCCACCCTCCCCACATGCCCGCTCACCCACCCGCCCACACGCTCACCACGCCCGCTCACTCACCCACACGCTCACCCACGCGCGCACCCACACGCTCACCATGCCCACCCACACACCCACCCACACGCTCACCATGCCCGCTCACTCACTCACCCACCCTCCCACACGCTCACCCACCCACACGCTCACCATGCCCACCCACACACTCACACACGCTCACCTCACCCACACGCTCACCATGCCCACCCACACACCCACCCACCCACACGCTCACCCACCCACCCTCCCACCCACCCACACACCCACCCACCCACACGCTCACCACGCCCGCTCACTCACCCACCCACCCACCCGCCCGCCCACACGCTCACCCACCCACCCGCCCACACGCTCACCCACCCGCCCGCCCACACGCTCACCCACCCGCCCGCCCACACGCTCACCCACCCGCCCGCCCACACGCTCACCCACCCGCCCACCCACCCACCCACACGCTCACCCACCCACCCACCCACCCGCCCACCCGCTCACCATGCTCGCTCACTCACCCACCCACCCACCCACCCACCCTCCCACCCACCCTCCCACCCACCCACCCACCCGCTCACCATGCTCGCTCACTCACCCACCCACCCACCCACCCACCCTCCCACCCACCATGGCCACGATGCGTTTGACGGCGAGTGCCGTGAGCTCTTCCCCCTTGGGCGCGTCCACGAGGGTGGAGCCCAGCTCCTTGAGGTGGAAGGACATCCCCTCCAGCAGCGTCTCCTTCGTGTCCGTCCAGTTCTCGGGCAGCTCTAGCGCAGCGCGCAAAGCAAAGACAAAGAAGCCCCGCGTAGCCTGTCACACACCGTCGGGGCAAGAGCTGCGAGCTATGAAGGGCGGCACCACGCCCGGCCGCCTTTGTCTCCCCGGCGGCGATGTTCGCGCACCGCACCGGGTACTCGTTTGAGGCCGAGTCGACCTTAGGGGAGGCCCAGGACCGGTTGGGATAATCGTCGCCGGTGTTTGGTGGCCGTGAGCGGGAATCGAACTCGGGTCGCCGGGTCTTTAGCGCAGCGTGGCGCTAACCGCTGCACCACCGCTCCACCCTCAATTCTCACAAAGACAAAAAATCCCCTTCATCTTGGTTCTTTCGGTAAAGTCACGTAGAAGGGAAATAACAAAATAATAAAAATAAAACAGGTCTGTCGGAAAGACAGCTTCATTCAGACAGCGTCTTTCCGACAGACCTGTTCTTCACCTGAGGACGGCTGCTTGCGTTGTGGCCGAAACGTCGTGAGAATTGTATTTTATTATGTTTTATTTTTATTATTTTATTATTTCCCTTCTACGCGACTTTACCGAAAGAACCAAGAAAACGTGGTTTAGTTTCAGTGGTTTCCTAAACACACACCCCACCCACCCACCACCCACCCGGCCCCACCACCGCCACCTCCATCCCCCAACCATCGCTTTAAACAAAAACGACACTTTGGGCAGCATTTCCCGCGTTTGACGAGTCGGTGAAATCTCAGGAGGAGCGCCGCCACCATCCGGCGAGCGGCGGCTCTCACCGAGGGCGGCATCGCTGGCCGTGCCGCCCCCGGGGTTGCCTCGCCGGTAGCCAAATACGCCGGAGGCTGCGCCGTTACCGAGCTTGCCGAGAGAGAATCGGAGGTGGTGGGGATTATTAATTACATCCAACAAACAACAACAACAACCGCCATTCGCGACGTCACCCCGGCGCTGAGGGCCGCGTGAAGCTGTCGAACGCCCACTGGCATGGAGCGTCACGGGACCAGAGGTCGCAACCGGGTACCAGATACCCGTACCCTACCCGATACCCGGCCGGGTACGGGTAGGCCGTGAGTCACTGGTGAGTAACCGTTTGTCACTCATTTCCCAACGTCTTGTCTCTTCTCACAGTTCAAGTTCCTAGAATCAACCCACCCGCGTCTGCAACATGGCTTCATCCCAGGAGGTCGCAATCGGGTACTCGTACCCGCACCCTACCCGATACCCGGCCGGGTACGGGTAAGGAATCTAAACCCGTTTGCGACCTCTGCCCGGGACAGACCCAGGTGCCATGGGTCGGCTCATCTTATTGGAGTTTACCGGAGGCGCCTTGCAGCGATCGCCAAGTTGCACACGGGCGTGATAAAGGACTTGAAGCGGAGAGGTGGGTCGCTGCACAGCGCTGGGACGGTTTCGATGATGCGGCCAAACGAGGAGGGACCGATGAGGAGGGGTCGGGATGGGCCCGGGTCGTAGCGCGACCGCCATGACAGCCCGATGCACCGTGCTGCGGGGCCCACACGCCGACTGCGTTTGTCGCCCGGCGCACTGGTCGTCATCGTCGTCGTCGTCGTTATTGTCGTCGTGGATGTTGTCGTCATTATTGTCGTCGTCGTCATTGTCGTCGTTGTCGTCATCGTCATTGTAACTGTATCCACACACAGCAGCAGCAGCAGCAGCCGCCACCCCCCCCCGGACCCCAACGTCTACAGTTGACAAACAAACCGCGCTCAGAAAACCTCAAGCCGACCACGGGCGCTTTATCTTGGAAACAAACACTCGGCCGCGCGCGGTAGCCGCAGCAAAGTTACAATTCCGGCTGTAACCACACGCACGCACAGACAAAGATCCCCCGTGTAGCCTGGAACAGACTGTTTGGGGGGCAAGTGCTGTTGTCGAGTAGCAGCTGTGAAGGCCGCCCCTGTGGCGGGCCGGCGGGCGGTCGGTCGGCATCAGAGGCCCAGTTTGTACGAATCGGAGCAGGTAATCGCTTGAGGCGGAGTCGACCTAGGGGAGGCCCGGAACCAGATCGGGTAATCGTCACCTGGTATGGGTGGAGCAGGGCCGACCCAGAGACCCGCTCTCAACTCGAGACACGAGCCTCGACTTCAGATGCCAAAACCAACGAAACCCCAATTTTCACTTCCATTGAAGCATGGATAACGATCTCAAAGCAACCGAGGCCTCGCAGATTTCTTTATATTTAACTAGCTTCACTACCCGGCTTCGCCCGGGACTTGGATTCTTATACTGGTAGGAACGAAGTGAACCAGCCTACAATAGATGATATCGTCCGTCCGTCCGTCCGATGTCCGATTAGGTGTAGCAACATCGCCCCCTACTGAAAACACTTGGCAGGACCCTACAAAAACCTTTAGAATCAGTGAGGCTTTCCTGGCTAAACAAGTGTAACATTCCCTTATAATTCCCTGAGATAATTTTTTATTTAAATGTTTTAATTAAAAACTAACTCATTCCCTGAGATAGTTTTTAATTAAAACATTTAAATTAAAAATTAACTCACAGCGGCCTAAAGCCTACAGCTAGGCCTAAAGCCTAGAGCTAGGCCTCAAACTCTCCCTTCGTATTGTCCGATGAGGTGTAGCAACATCGCCCCCTACTGCAAACACTTGGCAGGACCCTACAAAAACCTGTAGACTCAGCGGGGCTTTCCTGGCTAAACAAGTGTAATAATACATTATGTTTATATTCTTTGCTTATTCGTTCCTACCAGCCCACCCCGCAGGGACCTGTTCTTGGATTAATACACGGCCCACGCGGAGGGTGGGGGGGGGGGGTGCGTGACGGGTGACATCACATCTGTGACGTCACGTATGTGACGTCACCGCTCACTTGCCGTGCAAAATATTACATCCATAATTGCACCCCACCCCTCTCCCCCCCCAAAAATACAAAAGTCTTTTTTAATACGTTTTGCATTGTGTACAGTCTGGAAGCTACCCACATGCCAAATTTCAACTTTGTTGCATGTCGGGAAGTACGCTAAACATTTCGAACAGACACACATAATCACAAATTTCCCTTTAATATATATACGTCGATATATATTTTTAAATCCTTTATATTAAGTTCACTTGCTTGCGCGCTTACGACCGTGCAAATCTTTCGGTCGTTTTTTAACCCACTTCCCGTGATCCAATCGAGCTGACATTTTCCACAGACTCGTTGTGCGTGACAAATAATGTTCGTGAAAATTTTTTCCCGAAATTTTACACTTTTTAGGACAAAAAAAATTATATTTAATTACCAATTGCTTAATGGTGGCAGGCAATCATCTGACCCATAGGTGGCAGCCATCTCAAGCCAGAGGACGAGAGGACTCTAGCCGCCACGCATATAAAGGATTTATAGTGAAAAACTTTGTTTTTACGGGTTATATTTATTTTTTGTTTCCCCCACTGCGGCTGGCGAGCCGTGAAGGTTGACGACGACGAAGATGACGACGACGATGGCGACGACGATGACGACACAGCGACCCCAACGCACGTTGACGCGGCAAGGTGAACCAAGGCGGGCGACCGGCACGGAACGACGATTTCATCGCGCCCCCCCCTCCCCCCCAGCAAAACAAGGGCCCCCTCCTGCCACCCCCCTCCTCATCACCGCGGCTAGTGCCAAGGTCGTGACTACGACCGCAACTGCAAGCAATGCATCTAAAGGCGATGCTGACGACGCCGCTGAAAACGCAATTTTTTTTTTCTCGTACGACGCGAATGTAAAGAAAAAGATCAAATAAATAATAATCCGTGATCCGATAGTTCGATGTCACAGGAAGTGATGTCACAGACACCATCGAACTCGAGACCCAATTTTTTTGTTTAATCTATCGCGAATTAAAAATAAGCAATAACATTTCAGCGATCCGAAAGTATGATGGTCACAGGACGTGACGGGTGTCACAGGAAGCGACGTCACAGACGCCGCCAAGACTCCCGGTTTTTACGGAATCGTTCAACCGAACCAGGCGGCACAATTCATCGTTTGAAAGATGCAAATAAAAAAATTCCGCGATTCAAAAGTTAGAGGTCACAGACGCCAGCTAGCCTTCCCGGTTTTTACGGAATCATAAACCGAGCACGAGACCCAATATTCAATTTTCAGATATTGCTAATTAGAAATAACTAATAACATTCCACGATCCGAAAATTTGATGTCACGAAAAGTGATGTCACAGACACCACCTAGACTCCTGATTTAACGGAATCATTCAACCGAAACCCGAGATGCAATTCGCATTTTGAACGGTGCAAATAACAAAATAGAAAAATTCCGCTATCCGAAAGTTTTGACGTCACAGGAAGTGATGGACATCACAGGAAGTGATGTCACAGACGCGACACAAAAGGCTCACACGCAGCTCTGCTGTGGAGAATGACAGAATAATTAACACATTCCTGCGGAGGGAGCTGGTAGGAACGTTGGGTTGCTCGGTCAATGGCCTGCAGGGTCAACGGCGGCGTGGTGTATTCCGCAAATATGCCCGACTGTGAGGGTGGGCACAAGCCGGCGTGAGTAGGTTAAACGTTGAGTTTTATAAGGGCACCACGGGGTGACCAGCCCCTCCCACCCAGCCCCACCCCTCCCACCCCCCCACCCAGCCTCACCCTCCCCACCTAGCCCCACCTTCCCCACCCAGCCCCTCCCTACCCAGCCCCACCCTCCCCACCCAGCCCCTCCCCACCCTCCCCACCCTCCCCCTTCCCACCCAGCCCCTCCCCACCCAGCCCCTCTGGATGCACGACGGACGGACAGACAGACACAATAATCCCCTGTGGGCTGGTGTAACCAGGAGGTTCCTACCAGTACCAGATAATCCATCTCCTTCGCGTACAATACAATGCGTGTCTCCGCGTAAAACAAAAAAAAACCCCATAAAATGACTTCTTACACAACCGTTACGACAGAGGGCATTCCGCGTCTCATCGTCTTGTTTACATTCTATGCGGCCCAGCGCATTCATTGTTGAGTTTCGCATCGCTGTCACATTTTGCGTCAAACT